GTAGCAATATTTTATTACTGGTATTAATAGTAGTACTATTATTATTGGAAGTGTTTGGTCTGATGTTAGGCTCCGCCTCCTCTTCCTGTGTGTGATCAGGACCCTGGAGCAGGCCGCCTCTGTGCCTGTAGTTTATGCTACTGCCTATTACTCCCTGGTGGTGCGCGGCCGGCTGCGGCCCGGGGAGTCTGTTCTCATCCACTCGGGTTCTGGAGGCGTCGGCCAGGCGGCCATCGCTATAGCGCTCAGCATGAACTGCAGAGTCTTCACTACAGTTGGTCAGTACACGGCAGGCGGTCTGCACTCGTTTGTCATCTCAGACAAGCTCCGCCTCCATCTGATCTAAGCGTCTCGGTTCTTTTTGGGACGAACAGGTTCTGCAGAGAAGAGGGCCTACCTGCAGGAACGCTTCCCTCAGCTGTCTGCAGAATCCTTCGCTAACTCCAGAGACGTCTCCTTTGAGCAGCACATCCAGCTGCAGACCAAGGGCAAAGGTCAGCCTCCATCTGAGTCGCATCCCCTGGAGCACGCGCTGACCAGCTGTAGTGACCAATCCGTGGCTGTTTCCTGTGGTTGCAGGTGTGGACGTGGTGTTAAACTCTCTGGCCGAGGAGAAGCTGCAGGCGAGCGTCCGCTGCGTGGCCCGACACGGACGATTCCTAGAGATCGGAAAATACGACCTTTCCAACAACTCTCCACTGGGTAAGGAAGGTTCTACTGCCTTTTCTGATCTAGATGAAGTATTTCTAGATGAAGTATTTTGAAGCTACTTAGTGTTGCTAGATGTTTCTTTTAGAAGCAGTGTTCTTAGTTCTGTTGGACCCGTCCAGGTATGGCGTTGTTCCTGAAGAACGTGGCCTTCCACGGCATCCTGCTGGATGCGCTGTTTGAGGAGGGCAACAAGGAGTGGGAGGAGGTGTCCCAGCTGCTGAAGCAGGGCATTCTGGGAGGTGTAGTTCAGCCTCTAAGGACCACCGTTTTTCAGAGGGATGAGGCGGAGCAGGCCTTCAGATACATGGCCCAGGGCAAACACATCGGCAAAGTGGTCCTGCAGGTCGGTCTCCTCCTTCATCATTCCTCATCATCATCATCATCGCAAAGATCAACCTGATCTAGCATTGTCTCTCCCGTTTCCTCAGATCCGCAGTGAGGAGCAGGGTCCAGCTGTCCAGCCCGCCTCCCCTCTGCTTCTTCCCGCCGTTTGTCGTACTTTCTGTCTCCCGTCGCACTCTTACATCATCACTGGCGGACTGGGAGGGTTCGGCCTGGAGCTGGCCCAGTGGCTGATTGAGAGAGGAGCCTGCAAACTGGTGCTGACCTCTAGATCTGGCATCAGGAATGGTAAGGCTGAGCGAAGGACGCCAGCTGAAAGCATCCCATGATGCCTTTCAGAAGGAGAAACTAAAATCCACTGTTATTGCAGGTTATCAGGCCAAGCGGGTTGGCGAGTGGCGCAGGCAGGGCGTGAGCGTGCTGGTTTCCACCAGTGACGTCAGCACACTGAAGGGGACCCAGGAACTGGTCAGAGAAGCCAGCGCACTGGGCCCAGTAGGCGGAGTCTTCCATCTCGCCATGGTAACCCCGCAGTCAGCTT